GAGCCGGTGCAGCCTCTGTTTTTCCTTCTCAGGGGACGACTCCCAGCTGTTCACCCCGGGAACCACTCCGCTCCCACGGACGAGGGTAAAACACACGGAGTGGGCGGTGCCCAGACCCGCCAGTCAATCGGCCTTCTCCGCCCGACCCGGCCCAGGTGAGGCCGCTCAGCAGCACCGCCATCCTGGGCTCGGCCCAGGTGCTCTCGCTGCCGGTGCTCTCAGTGCTGGGCCAAGGGCACAGGCAGAGACACGGGCCACGGAAGGCCACCTGGTCACGTGAGAACGACTCCGACACAGGCGTGGAGAGCTGACACTGACTGGTGCTGACGGGAGCCGGCAGCGCCTGCTCTTGTGCTCCGTGACCTGTGCGTGCCGGGCACAGTGCCTGACGCAGGAGCGAGGGGGGCCAGGCCTCCGAAAGCAGCGGTCAGGCCACTGGACAGCGGCACCTGCTCTGCAGCCCAGCACCCGCCAGCCTGTGCCCCCTGTGCCCTCTCTCCCCTCTGACCGCACAGCGTCGGCAAACCTTCTGCAGAGACTGAGATACCCGCCACCTGGGCCCCGCGCCGCCCTCCGGAAGCCCCGGAGCAGCACCGGGCGTGCGGGGCGGTGAGCCGGCTGCGTCTTCACAGAGCGGGCGGCGCGGGCGTGTGCCCTTGGGTGGTCGTCGCGACCCCTGGACCAGAGGCCAGGCAGGTGAGAGCCCTTAAATGGGGACACGTGCAGTCGCACGTCCTGATCAGCGCCGAAGGCCCGGACTGCACGGCGGTGGGCGGGTGGCCAGTCTCGGGTTCGTTCCCTCCGCAGCTCTGCTCGGTGCCCACCGTGTGCCAGCCTCCTGCCTGGGGCGGTAAGCCACCGAGACACCCCGTCTGTCCTCCTAGAGCTTACGTTGTGGGGGAGGGAGAGAGCGAACCTGAGAACAGCGACACCCCGTGAGGACACGTGCAGTGAGCCTCTGCGGAGGGACCACGGGAGTCTGGAGGGAGCTGGTGTGGGGCAGGCAGCCTCGAGGATGCTTCAGCGCCTTCCAGGCAGCGAGATGCAGTGCAAAGGCCCTGGGGCAGGAGTGCTGGGCTGTGAAGGAGCAGCCGGGGCCAGGTGGAGGTGAAGTTGGAGGACAGGGGAGCCCAGGGGGCCCTGACCCTGCTGGGTTCCCGGCTCCCTCCGTCGAGGAGGCCCAGGTGGGTGACTGCAGGCACCTGAGGATGGCAGGGGTCACATAGTGAGAGATGGATAATCCCCGAGTTTCCAGCTTGAACACAAGGTCAGAGGGAGATTCCATGTCCTGAGCTGTGGGGGTGGGGCAGCAGGAGAGGTGGACTTGGAGTTCAGGTGATGCGTTTGAGGCATCTGTCAAGTACACCTGTAATGAGGGAGGGAAAACGCCCTGGCTGGTTTGGTGCAGTGCGAGCTCAGGACCATGGACTGAAGGGTCCTGGGTTCAATTCCGGGCATGTACCTCGGTGGCAGGCTCGATCCCCGGCCCTGACTGGGGCCCGTGTGGGAGGCCAGCAATCGATGTGTCTCTCACATAGATGTTTCTCTGTCTCTCCTCCCTTCCACTCTCCAAAAATCAATGGCAAAATACCCTCAGGTGAGGATCAACAACAACAACAAAGAAAAACGAGACAGGTTGCTGTGAAGCTCAGACATTGCTGACCTCTGAGCCGCGGGTGGTTCAGGGGCGAGCATTTGTAAGCTCCCCATCGCAGGCTGGGGGCCTGCAGCCCTCTGGCTGAGCTCCCCGCATTCCAGAGAGAAGGGCAGGAAGGGGAACTGGGAGATGTCTCTGAATTGCGGTGCCTTCGGGGCAGCCAGAATAGGGTGGGGAAGACAGAAGAGCGCTCCTCCTGGCAGTGTTTGGGGTGGGCTCCAGGCCCCTCCTGGGCCCTCTGACCTGGTCCAGAGTCACGGCTTCAGGTGTGTGGCTACCATTCCAGAGCCTCTTCGTCCCCACCTGCCTGTCTCAGTGCCAAACACGCCTGGCCCTCCTTCTAGGAAGTCCGGGCTGCGGGTGAGGGTGTGCAAACAAGGGAAGTGGGAGTGAAGGGGGAGGGGCTCTGACATTGGGAGCTGGTCTGGGCCCTCCTAGGCCTGCGTGGCCGAGGTCCAGGGACTTGGGGCATCATTCCTGTCCCTTGAGCAGAGCTCTGTGCTCAGCGGTTTGCCCAGGGCCGACTGCAGAGTTAGGGGGAGATGCGTCGTCTAGAAGCCCAGTGCGCAGCCCCCTGGCGGGGAGGAGAAAGTCCTCTTGCCCGACCAGCTCTGGGTGGGCCAGGGCTCTCCCGCCAGGTGCTGGCCAGGGTGCTGTTCTTGGGAAGTGGAAGGTGGAGCCGCCTTCTGCGGGAGCCGTCGTGGCTGTGACTGCGTGTTCTGTGAAAGCGGGATGAATGCAGGTGTCAGGCGCTGGTTTCCCAGGTGGAAGACAGGAGACGGGAGGGGCGGGCTTACTGAGCGCCTGCCTGTACAGATGCCCAGCGAGGCAGCCAGTGTGCTTCACACTTGCCACCGACGGGATCACACGCTGGTCCCGCTGTCCCTGCTTTCTCACTTATTGTATCTTAGCGTTTCTCTGCCAGCGTGTCGTATGCAGACTCACCTGCTCGCCACCTCATTCCACTTCCCAACACCCTCGCACAGGGCCAGGGCCACCCACGTAAAAAGAAAAGCCCTGGTCCCCAGCCGGCAGGAACCTGTGCTGTCAGGCTGTCCCACGGGACTAAGGCCACAGTGGGGGGATGTACGTCCATGACCTGACACCTCAGTGAAAAGCATCGTCTCCATGTAGCAGCTGTACCATCTTCCAGCCTGGTTATGGCTTCTACACTCTAGGGCAGCGATTTCCTTCCTTTTTTTTTTTTTAGAAAAGCAAGAATTTATTGACCACAGCAAAAACATAGGACAGTGAAACAAGGACCAGTGCTCTCCTGGTTGCAAGTCTCCTGGGGTCCCTTAGAGGCTGGGGTGTGTGCCTGTGGATGAGGGGGGGACGGAATGGCTCCGAGTGCTGGGGCAGGAGCCCAGGGCAGCGATTTTCTACCAGCTGCGCCGTAAGCGCTTGTAAACCAGGCGGCCCCTGACTGCTTGTCAGGGCACGGACCCTTTTCCCTTCGACTGTCCAATAAAACCGTGGCAACAGCCAGCACAGCAGTAGCTGTCTGGTGTGAATGAATCAACATGACCCTTATTTTTGGGGTATAGGTGGTGACAATGTAATGTTTCTGGGTGTGATTAGGTCATGTGGCCCTGAGATGGAAAAGGTTGGAAACCGCTGGCCTGGGGAGTTGGCTCCCTAAGGAAGGAGGACGTTCAGTTTTCCTGCAGAATCATCTCACAGTTTTTGGGTTTGTCTTTTTTTATAGAAAACCCCCTGCTTTGCCCTAAGAAAGGGGCCTGCCCCAGGAGCCATAGCGGTCAGGGCCACTCACTCCCCTGCCTTGTTTTAGCCACACGCATGGGATCGGAGGCCGTGAGGGGAGAGGGGACAGGAAGGGCCACGGGAACCCCCGTTTGCATCTGGGCGGGACACCCCCCGCTTGCTCCCGGCCTGGCTCCTTCGGGACCGGCCCTCTCCCCAGGCTCCAGGGCCTGGCTCTCCTGGGACCGCGCCAATCACACCCACCTAACACCCGGCATAACCCCCCTCGTGGGTTCCCTGCACGGACCGTCCACAGCGCCTCCCCTGCATCGGTGAACACTGGGGTCATTCCCGGTGTTTGAAATGTTTCTCCAGGGCGCATCACCCTCGTGTTTCACTGTCGTAGCGACAGGGTTTTGTTGTGTTTTTAAAATATTTTTTTATAGATTTTTAGAGAGAGAGGAAGAGAGAGGGAGAGAGAGAGAGAAACATTGATGAGAGAAGAACATCATCCATCAGCTGCCTCCTGCACGGCCCCCGCGAGGGGTTGAACCTACAACCGAGGCTCGTGCCCTTGACCAGGATCGAACCCGGGACCCTTCGGTCTGCAGGCCGACGCTGTGTCCGGGGGCCAAGCCGGCCGGGGCATTTCAGGGCTCTTAACCATGCTTGTTTCACGGACCCTTTGCCACAGGAGGGAAGCCTCTGGATGCCTTAGAGTAGCATTTTAAGAGATAAAATACAATGCAGAGGGTTACAGGGAAACCAATGGTATTGGAAGGTGGTTTTCAAAATATTAGAAAAACCCAAGTTTATGGTAAAGCAATCCGTTGTCCCCCCTCCAGTAAGTGGTCACATGCAGCCACTGGACTAATGACCGCCACCATTTGAACGGCGATGAGCGTAAGTGACGTTCCGCGGCTTCGGCAGCAAGTTGGATGTGACGGCGAGAACCCGTGTCCCCGGATGAAGTCGCAGGGGCCGCTGCTACTCCGGCTCAGGTCCTTCCTGATGGACGACACAGCCAAGTCTCAGTCGGAGGCCAGTGAAGGGAAGACGGGGGTGCTTCCCCTTCACGTTCACAGGCCCCTGAGCAACGCCAGGCGCCCCGTGAGGAGCCCTGCCCCGGGAAATGCCAGCCCTCTTCCCGAGTGGGAGCAGGGCTCCTCACCCGGGAGCCCCGAGGGAGAATGGCCGCCGTCCCCCTCCCGGCGCACTAGCCGTCGCCCCGCGTTTTCATGGCGGCCCGTGCGGTGGGCGTGAGCTGCGCCTGCATTTTCCTGTGCCTCACGGAGCGTCTCGTCCTGTGGCTTCTTGTTCTGTGTAATAACGGCCTGTTACTCATTTATCGGTGGTTGTGATTTTTGTCTTTGATTCGAAGGAATTCTTCATATGTTCTGGATATTCATCACTACTATTTTTTTTAATATATTTTAGTGATTTTTTACAGAGAGGAAGAGAGAGGGATAGAGAGTTAGAAACATCGATGAGAGAAACATCGATCAGCTGCCTCCTGCACACCCCCCACTGGGAATATGCCTGCAACCAAGGTGCATGCCCTTGACCGGAATCGAACCTGGGACCCTTGAGTCCACAGGCCGACGCTCTATCCACTGAGCCAAACCAGTCAGGGCCCTACTATTTTTAAAGAGATGTTTTTATTGATTTCAGAGAAAGGAAGGGAGGGAGGTAGAAACGTCGGTGAGGAGAGAGCATCGGCTCCCGTCGGCGGCTTTTTCCTCTGACGACGGCCGCCGCCCCCGCTTCTTGGCGTGCCCCGTGGATTTTGATCGGGTCCCTAAGCTGAGGGATGGCGCCCAGTATACACTGGTTTTCCCTCTTCCTCTGAAAAGTGATGGCTTTTGCTCTGGAAGGCGGTTCCGTTCCCAGCAGGTCGCCGTGGCCTTGCGGCGGCTCAGTTCTAGGACCTGTGAGGGCAGGTTTATGTCAGTGTTGCCCTCAATCTGGGATGTGGTCCTCGCTTCTAACACCTGGCCCTTTTCTCCGTGGTTGGTGCCCAGTGGTTAGAGCTTCGGCCCACGCATCGAAAGGTTTCGGGTTGGATTCCCGGTCAAGGTCAGGTAATGGGGTCGCAGGTTAGATCCCTGGGCCAGGTGGAGGCGCGTGCAGGAGGCGATCAGTGGATGTGTCTCACATCCGTATTTCTCCCTCTCTCTCTCTCCATCCCTCCTCCCTTACACTCTCTCTGAAAAGCAATGGAAACAATATCCTCAGGTGAGGATTAACAAAATAAAACAGTAACACGTGGCCCTTCTGGGGTGTTCGCAGAAAGCCCAAGCGGCTCACCCAGCGGCTCTCACTTGGCCGGACTTGAGTTCCAGTCTCTGGCGGCAGCTGAGCAGCTGCTGCCGTCTCTGCTCGGTGCTTTGGCCCCTGGGTCTCACTTTCCACGCAGCCCCTTGGAGGTGCGCCCTGTCCATGCACCGAGGAGGGTGCAGCGGAGGACGTCAGGGGATTTGTACACAGACTGCAGGGCGGCGCCCCCAGGGCCGGCCCTCCCGCAAGGCCCAGCTCCTCTCGCACCCTGAAGTGCCGCGTCTGCTTCTCAGCCCATTGGACGGCCGCCTCCTGCCTGCATTGTCTCTGGGTGCTGGGAGGATGGAGGAGGTGCTGGGGGAGACTGGCCACACCTGGATGCCCCTTGTTTCCGTCGCCACAGGGCGCTGCTTGCCCTCCGGGACCTTCACAGAGCTCCCCTTTGTCCTCTGCTTATCACGGCGCAGGCGGGATGGGCAGTGTGACCACGTTTCTGTGCTGTTACCTGACGTGGAACTTACCCTGAATCTTCAGTGGACACGTAATATCAATCCAGAGCACCCAGAACCGATCAGCCCTAGCCTCTCCCCCAATGGACAGAAACCTGGGTCTGCTCTCCCCGCCCCTCAGCTCCTGGCAGCTGGGCTCTCAGGTCTCTGTGGTTAGTCACTTGTTAATTTGCATAAACAATTGTGGAGCCGCCACTGTAAGGTGCTCAGGGCTGGTCAGCTGCCATAGATTCCAGATGACTTTTACCTTTTCTTCATATTTACTGGCCTTTCTTTGCCATTAATAGCCTGTGTTTGTCTCATGGGTGAAATTTTCTGTCTACTCTTGAAGGATTACTTCTTTTTATTGATTGATTTTTTTTGAGAGAGAGAGAGGGGGAGAGAGAAAGAGACATCGACTTGTTGTTCTACTTACTTAGACATTCATTGCTTGGTCCTTGTATGTGCTCCGGGCGGGGGTCGAACCTGCAACCTTGGCCTATCAGGACGACGCTCCAACCATCCAACCCCCCCCCCCCCCCACGAGGGCTCTGAGTTCCACTGGGGCATCTGTCTGTGAAATGTTCCCAGGGGTGCTGGTCTCTGTTTATTGAGTGTTTTGTTTTTCTTGGTCTTTGTTTTCCTCCAATGTTTTGTGATTTAAAATTTTGTGCCCATATCTGTGTTTCAAAATCCCCAAGAGGCTGGCAGAGGAAGGACCTTGCTTCTGGCCAGAGTGCCCTCGAGTCGGGGGCTCTCCCTCTCACCTGGCAGCTTCCTGCCACCCGGGGCCTTGCTGGGTCTCGGGCCCCAGCGCTCTGGCCGCTCTGGCCACAGGCACAGCCCAGGGAGGCAGCCTTGGGGGGGGGGGGGGGGAGTGAGCTCTGAATGGGTCTCCAGGTAGTCACGTGACCGCCGCCCCAGGCTGTGTCCTGTTTCATTTCCATAAACAGAGCTTTCTCAGAACTCTGGAACCGAGTTCGCAGAAGGCATCTCCGTGACTGTGCCAGCCTCTTCCTTTGATGATTCGATTTCTCCATCAAACCACCTGCCTGCTCTGTGCCTTCATGAATTCCCGCAAGGGTCCCAGGCGCCCAGACATTTCTTTGCTTTTTTTCCTTATAGATTGATTCTGAGTTTCAGGACATACTTGGCCGGGCGGCAGGGGCCCGCATGCGCGAGGCTATGGCCGATGGGCTCCCCGTAGCTCTGCCAGTCACGTCGCTGGCTGTGACCTGCACACCAGCAGGCCGGCCCCACTCTGAACCAGGCGGCTCGCCTGGCCTGAGGTTCAGAGTTAAGGAAAACGACCTGCCTGCATCAGCGTTGGTAACCGGACAAGGAGTGGAAAACGCAGCCCCCGAATTGGCATAAACTTTTCCTTGAATGTCCCACCTGAAGCCAGTTGTGGGGCAGCGAGGTGATAACCGATTCCAGGAAAACCGAAGCGGCTTCTTCTCAGTCGGGCACACACGGATTCTGTGCAGCTCAGGGTGTGATTCAGAACGAAGTGAGAAGTTCAGAGGTGGAATGGGCATTTGGGTGGGGATGAAGCCAGGGCCGACTGGCATGCATGCCGGTGGAGGGTCACGCCGCTTCTGGCCCATAAAGCTGCCCAGAGAGCTCTGGGCAGAACTGTCCTTGGGGATTGGGAAGGCGCCGGATCCTTAGGGTCCGACCGATGAACACTGTGCGCCAGGGGCAGCGGTCTGCAGACGGGCACTGCGGGTTTCAGAACGAGCATTTCAGCCTAAGCCGATTCTCTACGAGATCCTTATCCGCGAGCAGATGACCGGGCGTCTACTTCTTCAGGTTCAAGTGTGTGGATTCTTGCCAAGGGAACATCTGCACTGATTCAGCGTCCTCTCCGCTTGGGGGGGGTGGAGGTGGGATGTGTAGCTTCGAAAACAAAAACAACAGCAGGTTCCTGGCTGCTGCCCTCGAAGCCTCCCACGCAGCTGATTACCGACAGGCTCAGCCGCTGCGGCTCCCACGGGCAGCCTCCGGCCCCACGTCCCTCGCGGGCTCGGTCCCAGCGACAGTGGCTTTCTCCCCCGGCTCCGGGCAGGCGTCCTTTCCTTTAAATGATGACATCACCCAGCTGTCGTTCCCTCCACCGCAAACGGCCCGTTCTTGATAACTTGGTGGCTGTTAATCATTACACACCGTGAGCAGGTTAAATCCGCCCAAGTCCCATCACACCAGACCCTCGCCGGCCCAGGCGACGCTGCGCGCAGCTCCGCCGCGGAGCCAGGCAGGACGCCCGCACCGAGTGCGGAGCAGGTGGAAAGTTGAGATGAAATTTCCAAAAAGGTAGGGCTGGGAACGTTGATGGGGAGATAAAACTGTGGCAATGCTCTGAAAAGAAAGAACAGCCTGTGAAATGGACTCTTGTTGTCTTTGGAATGTGGTCATTATCATGTGGATGGCCGTGACGCACGGGCTGGGCGCCGCCCCCGGCGGGCGTGCGGGCAGGGAACCGGGCCCCAGCCATATCTCCGGTCGTGGGGCATGTGAGCTGGCCACCCGGGCTCCGCGGCCCCAGACGTGTAATTAGAGGCTCCGGGCCCGGGTGATGCGCAGACAAGTCTTATCACGCGTCTGGGCTGCCGTGGGTGCACGTTCCCTCCGTGGCGCGGGTGGGCCGGGCTCCGCGCCCGCCCGATCCCGGGGAACCGTCCAAAGGTTCTGCCCAGCCAGGGACTTGCATCGATTTCTCAGCAGAAAACCACGCGGAGGACACTGGCAAGGCCAACCGGGTCTTGGCACATAGGACACGCGGCTTCCTGCGCCCCAGGCGTGCCGCCCGGAGGAGAGACACTCACCGGCCTTTCACAAGAAGGGCGTGTCCTCGGGGCGGGCGGCTCCGGGCTGGCCCCGCCCACTGCAAAGTGAAACACGCAGCAGGCCTGTGGTTAGTTAAGATGTTTGACGTGGATCCAAGTTATTTCCAAGGAATGAAGGTGGTGCCTGTGTCCAGAAGGACTCGGCCACGGAGACCGACACATACTCTCCCGGGCCTGGCCCCTCCCACTGGCCTTTTTACGTCGGGCGGGGGAAGGAGCTGCAGATGGCTGTGGCCTCATGGATCCTTTTCGTGAACTTGCCACGAGCTGACTTGCTTGGCTTCCTGGCCGTTTTCTGGAATCGTAGATGGAGGGATGAGGGCACTGGAGGCCCGCCTCGCCGGCCCAGTGGCGAGAGATCAGCTCTTCCTCGGCAGGCCAGCCCCGGCCAGCCCTCCCCCTCCCCCTCCCCCTCCCCCTCCCCCTCCCCCAGGCCCCATCTGCTCCCTGCCAGGTGGTGCGGGCCTTGAGGAACAAGGGTCATGGCAGGGTGGCCGCGGCGTTCGGACACCACGAGCTGAGCTAGTTGACACTCGCTCTGAGTGCTTCTCAGCGGCTCAGGCAGACGCATCTTCGAACTTTCAAGTGCAAGGACGGCACGAAAACCCACACCCTCCCCCGCATTAGACACGGCCCGCCTGCTCACGTAGTGACAGGGAGCACGGGCGAGGCTGCGAAGCGGGGACCCATTTGAACCTTCTGCCCTGTTTTCCTCTCCTAACTTCCCCCAAATAAATCCCCAGAACTTCTCTCAAAAGTTGTGATTCTTGCGTGGAGAGGAGAAGGGCCGGAGCGTTGGTCAGCGACCCAGCCTCTGAGCGACTCTGAACCAGACGCACGCTCCTGAGGACAAGAACGCCTCACGCTCCAGCCCTGCCTTAGAAATCCAGGTCGCGTCTGGGTTGGTTTACGCGAGGGAGGCCTCAGGTGTGTGTGCCCTGCAGTGGTTCTCAACCTTCCTCACGCCGCGACCCTCAATACAGTTCCTCATGTTGTGGTGACCCTCAATTTCATTGTTACAAATTGAACATAATGAAAGCATAGTGATTCATCACCAAAACAATATGTAATTATATATGTGTTTTCCGATGGTCTTAGGCGACCCCTGTGAAAGGGTCGCAACCCACAGGTTGAGAACCGCTGTAAGGAAACGCTACTGACGAACCCTCAGTGCAAAGTGCTCGCTGCACGAGAGCTGGTGCACGTGGATCCTGCAAAGCCTTGGCCATCAACGTGAGCCTCAGTTTACCTTCTCGGCACCATCACCGTAAGGTAGTTACATGGCAATGTATTTTTAAAGCTTTATTAGCTTTGCACAAAATGCCTAGCAGAATTAATGCCAATATTAATTTGTAAATTAAAGAGTAGAGCCCAAGTCCATTTTGATAGCCACTATTTCTGTATACACTGAGTGGCCAGATTGTTATGACCACCCCATCAGTACTTCGTTGGGCCACCTTCTGCCTTCAATACTGCAGCGATTCTTCTTGGCACTGACTCCACGAGATGTTGAAAGGTGATGCGAGGAATCTGACACCATGCCTGATGAATAGCACTGTCCAGTTCTGAGAGATTTGATGGTTGTGGAACCAGCTGCCTGATGGTTTTCTAACTTCGTCCCACAAATGCTCAATTGGATTGAGATCTGGTGATTGTGGGGCCACCTAAGCAAGGTAAAGTCTCCCTCATGTTCTTGAAACCACTCCGGCACAATACGAGCACCGTGGCATGGCGCATTGTCTTGTTGGCAGAAGCCATCTCCGTTGGGATACGCCATCAACATGATAGGATGAACCTGATCAGCAACGATACTTAGGTATGCTGTGCTATTCAGACGTTGTTCCACACGAATTAAAGGGCCCAAATCATGCCAGGAAAACATGCCCCAAACCATAACTGCCCCCACCAGCTTGAAGCGTTGTGCTCATGCATGTGGGATGCATGCTTTCATGCTGTTTCCACCAAATTCTCACTCTGCCATCTGCATGATGCAACTGGAAACATGTCCAATCCTTGTGTTCCTGTGCGAATTGGAGACGTTTTATCTTGGTAACTGCAGACAGCAAAGGTGTTCGAACAGGCCTTCGGCTTCCATATCCCATACGATGCAGTGTACGGCTAATTTGTCTACAAACGTCAGGTGGTCATAATAATCTGGCCACTCAGTGTATATATTGTGACAATGTCCATTTCCGGGTTTTGATAATGGACAGTAATTATATAAGATGTTAACAGTGGGAGAATCTGGGGAATGGGTACAGGGGGGCCTCTGTGTATTATTTTTGAAACTTCTTGGGAATCTGTAATTATTTGAAATTAAAAAGTAAAAAAACAAACACCTGTATATGCAATAACCATGTTAGGAGCTTATGTTTAAGAAAAAGGCTCCATAGACCCTAAAACTGTAAGTTATATGATGCAACTAAAAACTAAGACTAGCTTAGTACATGTTTTGATTCTTGAATCAGGAGGCAGAGGGAGTAGCTCTGACAGATGGAGTAGCTCTCCTCTCTCCAGCGATGAACCCTCTGGAAGGGTCTGTGGGCCTCTCTTCTGGACCAGGACCCCTCAGAGTGAAGAAACAGCCCCTGGAACCTAGTGGAGACGTAAACCAGATGAAGCGCCCATGAGCACGTGGGCCTTGGTAAGAAGGCGACAGGCAGTGCGTTCCGATTACCGCCGCCTGGGAAGACTCATATTTCTCCAAATTTGGGGTTGACTTACAAGAGTCCCCGTGACCACAGCTCTGCGTCCCGCCACACCGTCCTTACTGAGCCACCCCTTGGGTTCGCAGGGCATCGTGTCCTCCGCCGGGCCCCACGCTGACGGGAAAGAGGCTCCGAGAAGCGAAGGGAAGCCTCCAGGCAGGACATGAGGTTAGGACTGGAGCCTGTTTCCTGACTTGGCTTTGTTACTAGATAATGCCCGCCTCCTCAGGGGACTCAATGGCACACCAAGTGGCAGATGACAGACAGCTGTCTCCCCACTGGGACTGTCCGCACAGCAGCCATGTGCGTCGGATGAGGCCGAGTTATGTTGTGAAAATGCTTTGGCGTGCACTTTCTGTGTGCGGGCGGAGGACCGAGCAGGCAGACGGGCTATGGACAGGGTTCTGGTCACATGGCGTTAGCATGGGCAGGAAATAACAGGAAAGCGTAGGTTATCTTAAAATCAGGAAATCCCAAAGGTAAGAGGGAAGCAGGTTTTGAACTGATCTTATTAGATGAGTTAAAAATTAGACTATAAACTGACTGACCAGCATGGCTCAGTGGTTGGGCATCAACCTATGAACCAGGAGGTCAGGGTTTGATTTCTGGTCAAGGCATATGCCCAGGTTGTAGGCTCAATCCCCCAGTGTGAGATGGGCACGAGTCAGCCAATTAATGATTCTCTTTCATCATTGATGTTTCTGTCTCTCTCCCTCTCTGAAATAAATACATATTTTTAAAAATCCTATATAATGAAAGGCTAATATGCTAATAGATCAAACAGCAGAATGACAGGTCGCTATGACATGCACTGACCACCAGGGGACAGACACTCAACGCAGGAGCTGCCCCCTGGTGGTCAGTGCACTCCCACAGAGGGAGCGCCACTCAGCCAGAAGCCGGGCTCAGGCTGGCGGTGGAGCCTCTCCCGTCTCTGCGGCAGCTAAGGATGTCTGACTGATGGCTCAGGGAGCGGTCCTAAGCCAGCAGTCAGACATCCCCTGAGCGCTCCTGGACTGCGAGAGGGTGCAGGCTGGGCTGAGGGAACACTCCCCCCCCCCCCCAACACACACACACACACACTGGCGAGTGCCCAAATTTTGTGCACTGGGCCTCTAGTTACACTATAACTATCTTTATAGTGTCCACCACAATACAAAGAAAAGGCAGCGGAGAAGGGCAAAAAGCAAAAAAAAATATGAGACACAGATCAAGTAGTGGAAAGAGGCACTTGGACATCCATGGGGCCAGTCTGCGCCGCTGGAGGGTGGGGTTCGCATAGCCTGGCTCTGGCCTGTGTCCCACCTGAGGTCGTGAGTATGTAGGCAAGAGACATCATTAACAGTATCATAAATAAGTATTGTAACTTTATTAAAATGAAAAGACAATATTCAAAATAATGCAACAAAAATGAAAATCCTTTGTCCAATACTGTACACATAATGCAGAAATCAGTGCATTTTCCTAAAGCATGTTTTAACCTTCATTTAGTTCAGACTAACACATCCGCTTTAAAGAGCTCAGTCAGTCACTCAGCGGAACTGTAAACAGCTGGTTTCACTGGCGAGAACGTCGCGGTAACGCACCTCTGTGGGAGCACCTCTCGCTGGGCCGAACTGTGCGGGGGACACGGAGGCTTGGCAGGCAGTGTGCGCGCAGGCGTGGGCCTGGGAGCAGACGGTGCTGATGGGACTCTCGTATTAAGACACAGTTGCTCTTGGTCAGAAGGCTTTACTTCAAAAGCCAACAATCCCCAGGAAATACTGAGTAGGAACCAGCAACACAAGGCCAGCTTGTGTTGTATTTGTTTATTAATAGTCTAAAACCCCGCACACACACCCCCACAGTCACTCTCAGGCACGTGGCTGCTTCATTCCTGCTGCAAAGCGGACCGATGGCGTAGAGCGCACGTCCGTCCACTGCTGTGGGCAGCGCGATGTGGCCGTCGGTGGGTGGAACAAAGCAGGAACCGTCAGGAAAATGTCCTACCATCTTCTTCTTTGTCAAGAAGCGAGACCCGTGCAGGTGGAAGTGTGGTTGCCAGGTAAACTGCTAGTCCTCCCCGCAGGGACAGGAAGTGAAGTCTGCAAGTCTTGGGTCTCGGGCGGTTTTAAACTAGGTAGGCACAGCCGCAGTAAGGACACATCCCGCTCCCCATGGAAAAGGCTGCAAAAATACATCCAACAAAACATAACAGACCAAAGAGCCAGAAATCTTCAAACTTACTCAGCAAAAATAATTCTCTAGGATTCTAAATACTGTGCTTTCTTCTGTTTGCTCAGTGTTCAGTCGACCGGGAGCCCTAGTCCAGCGTGTTTTATTCTGAATACACATCACTGAGAGCAGCTGACTGGTTAACTGGCGACGGCTAGACTGCGAGTTTACACATGGATACGATGGGCGTCTGTGAGTGTCCGCGTCCTGCCCTCCCGTCACATCTGTGGGCTTGGACACTGGGTCCTCAGCATGAAGCACCTCTCCACCTCTCCGGACAGAGTTCAAGTTTGTTCTGCACCTGAAACATCTTCCCCTGAACCTCAGTCAAACTGGGAAACTGCTTGGGAACCACCTGCTCCCGTGGACCCTCTGCCGAGCCGTGACCCGAGTCTACGGAGAAACCACGTAGGACAAGTGCTTACGCTTCCCGTGGCCGCCCACGTCCCCCCGGGTCCCGGGGTCCAGCTTCCCGGGGGCGGCGAGGACACCGCCGTCGGCGGGGAAGGGCTGCACCTGGGTGCCGGCGCCCGCCTCCTCGGCCTCCGTGAAGAACTTCTCGTAGCGGTCCAGGTACGGCGGCCTCTCGGGGAGGAGGTAATAGTGCGTCGAGCTGACCTTCTTCCCGTTCTCGATGATGGGCAGGATGCAGGGCGCCCGGCTGGCGGAGCCTTCGCTGAGCTGTCTTTGCAGAGCTTTGCTGCTCACGTACTTGGGGTCCGGGGCGAAGCTCTGCGTGGGGGGCATGACCCCGTTGAGGTAAGACGGAAGGCTTTTGGGACTCGGGGTGCGGGAGTTGCTCCGGGACAAGGGCTCCCTGGGCGGCACTTTGGGGGGCCTGTCTTCGTCGCTGTAGGTGCTGGAAGTGACCTCTGCCGACCACCGTCTGTAGTCGGGCTTCACGGGCCGTGGAGGGATGGGGACCCTGGGGGGGACCTCGGGCTTGTCTGTGTCGGGGTGGGGGGAGGCGCGGTGGGTGTGGCCGTGCACCTTGATGGCCGGCTTGTGGAAGGACCCGGCGGGGCCCGAGTGCGACCGCCGGAGCCGCCGGTGGCTCTGCGGCGGGGGGTCTGAGGGCGGCCCCCCTGCGCCCCGCTCGGGGGCCTGGCTGAGGTCCACCACCGAGACGGCCGGGGTTTCGAAGTAGGCGTAGTTGATCTGCCCGCACCCGCGGAAGCTCCGCCGGCCCGGCACGCCGGCCTGGAAGTCGGAGGGCGCGCCGCCCCCCAGGAGCCAGTCCGTGTCGGAGCAGGTGAAGAACTCCACCTCGCAGTCCGTGTCGTCCAGGGAGAGGCCCTCGGAGATGGGCAGCGGGGGGAGCGGCCGGGAGCCCGCCACACAGGGCACGGGGGACGGGCCGTTCTTCATGGGCGTGAGTGGCGGCGTGGGGGCGCACCCCCCGTTGACCGACAGTTTCTTAAAGCCACACACCACCGGGTCCTCGTCGGGCCCCGAGCTTTCACTTGGGGGAAGGATGAGAGGGGGCAGGCTGGGCTTCTGAGGGGGGCCGTGCTCTGCCAGGCGGTGGCCGTTAGTCGGGGCAGGTGCCGAGGCGCGCCCTGCAAAGGACGGGGGTTAGCGAGGGACGAGCAGGGCCCCTGCGCGTGGGGACGGCCCACTGCCTCCCCCCCACCCCCCCGGGGCTGCCACCTGAGCCCCAGGCACAGGCCACGGACACCGTGCCGCACCACAGCTGTAATTAGGGCCTGAAGATTGTTAACGCACATGATCTGGTTCAAAGAACAGACTATCTCTTCTATCTCCCCGACATGCGCAGGGCACACGCCCACACACGCAGGCAGGTTCTGTGACATGTGCACAATTCGCAGAAGATGAGCAGCATATAATTTCCACGAATACCACCCGCAGCGCCAGGTCACAGGCGACGGGACAGCGCTAGGCACACTGGGTGGGGCTGAGATAAGAGGGAGCCCCCGCTGGCACCCGGTCACGCCACCAGGGTGGCAGCTTGCAGTGTGACAGCAGCTCCTGGCAAAAACCTAAGGGACAGGATGTCCACAGGACAAGGGCCCTGTGGTGTTCTGCGCGCCTTCCTGAGTTCCTGACAGCATCCCCACTCCTGTGCCCTCACACAGGCCTCCGCACGGCGAGAGCCAGCAGGTCCTGTGCGAGGCTGGACCGGCTACTCCCTGACCTTCCACACCCAGGGCTAGTGGGGACTGAGTGTGGGAGGAACAGGTTACCGTCAGACCTGCCGCCACTAGGGGTCACACTATTGCTGGAATAGTTCAGGCTGTTGCCTCTTTTTTAAAGAGCAAAGCTGGAGGACAAGATAGCAGCCCTCCGCCACCTCCCCTCCTGGGCCACCTCCCCTCCCGGGCCGCCCTCTGGGATTTGCAGGACACCTACCGAGAGACGTCAGGTGCGCCTGTGTGGTCGACTTCAGATTGTAGGCCATGGTGATCGGATGGATGTTTAGAAAGTTACTGAAATGCAGCAAAGACATCTTGGTCAGAGACCACAGTGACCCCCCCATCCCCATCTGTCTCCTCCGCACGCAGAGGCCCACGCACCCGGCCCGCACTTACTTCCCCAGCTCCCGGCGGCGGCCCCAGCACGCGTTCAGGCTCCCCAGGGCCTGGCCATCGTGCAGAAACGCCTTCAGCGGGACGCGGATCTCCTGGGCAGCGACTCCCGCGGTGGACATGGTGCACCCGAGGCGTCAGTCAGCAAGCAGCGTTTGGTCCCTGGAGGGAGAGGAGGAGGAGAGGATGCAGGAAACAACTCAGAAACACCCATCAGCAGCAACCCGACAGCATCCGAGCGCCGCACAGAGACGCAGCCAGACTTCCACCCCGTCCTCCCGTGTACAGCCGTCTTCCTCCCTTCCTGTGAGAACTTAAACGTGCGCGTTGAAAGCAATCTTTCCGTAAGTCCTGATCTGAGATGTGCGATGCTTTGAGCAGAGAGAAATGCCGTGGCCAGGGAGAGGGGCCCTCCTGGTGGGGCGGGGTGCACAACAGCCCCCGGACGCTCACTCCCCACCTTCGGAAAGGCCGTGGCCGCTGACTCGTGCCCACGAAGCCGCCTCGGTCAGACGCCGGGTCCACGCGCGCCTCGCCAGCCACAGCCAGCGCTGACTTGGTTCTGTCTCTCAGGGTTGGCCCAGGAAGACACACCCTCCAGTGGTGACTTGTTTGGGAATAAAGGAACATAGGAAGACACTGATGTCCACTATCCCGTGAAATCAGGTTCTGCAAGTTGGCCGGCTTCGGGCGGCCTGGACAGCTTCCCCTTCCCGTGCATTCTTCACATTCTCTTCTCTGCGGGCCTTGCTGCAAGGCATGGGCACCTCGGCTGGGAAGTCTTCTCCTTCATCTAGTAATTCCTCAGCTTTCAGGGATCCTGTCCCTTCCCTCAGGCCTTTTTTTCAAGGGAGAGAGGAAGGGAGTGGGGGAGAAACATCTACCGGCTGCCTCTGGTATATACCCCGACTGGGTAGCCAACCTGCAACCTCCATGCCCGACCGGGACTCAAACCAGCGACCTTTCAGGGCACAGGATGGCACTGTCACCGGGCCACCGGCCGGGCCCGCAGCCTCTTCTAAACGTTCACTATGGCATCAGTGCTGACGCTGAGGCCCTATCTGGGCTCTGTCTTCAGAGAATCTGCGGTTCAGGGCCTAACTGGTGTGTGGAGCATTGGCCTCTTGGGAGCTGTGTGCGTACCCCCTAGACTGCGCTCAGATGCTCCCCGAAAGCGTGCATGCCCACGGAGAGCGGGTGTGCCAGGGCTGGGGCGGGAGGGGGCACACAGGCTATTTTGTTTTGTTTTAGGGACGAAGCTGTCACCTCCCAGCTGACTGTGAGTCAGACCACAGGCTGTGTTCCACAGCAGGAGCTCGGCGAGTGACTGCGTCCTACCATCTACTGTTGCCATCCGTATCAGGAGAAGGTACGTGGCACAGGGTTTTGTTTTTTCCACAGAAAAGGAACGAGAGATAACGTTTCGGTCCATCTGAAACACTTAAATCTCAGGCAGAGGGTTCAACAGGTTAGAAATAGTATTTCAGAGAGGGAAGCATGAGTTCTCTTTAGTCAGTCTCTTTAGAGAAGAGGAAAAAACCATCATTTAGTCACTGTAAGTTACTGGAGGTTTGGTGTTTTCCCCTCCTTCACCGGAATCAAGTGAAGCTACGGAACAATTTGAAAACCGATTTTTAGGAAACACTGTCAGGCCCCCTGCAAGCGCTGGCCAGACCCCAGGGAGAGCGTCTGCGACTCGGAGTGAAACCCGCTGGGAAGGAGCCCCGGGCAAGCAGCGCAGAGCCCACATGTGGAGGCTGCGCCCATGGCAGGGCGAGGCGAGGCGAGGCGGCCGAGCCCAGCCCCCACCTGTCCGCAGGCCAAGGGCTAGTAATTACCGCCTGTCGGCTCCTCACCATCCCTCACATCGACATCTGAGCTTTCAACAGGGCGATTGTGCAACTGGGGCCTCTGCGAAATGGCCTGGATCCTAAACTTACATTTCAATGGTCCCCGAAAGTTACTTGTATGTTCTAGAAAAAGTTATTTTTTATTCATTGTTTCCATCACCTACTTGTTAGCTTTCTTAAGAAAAAAAATTTTTTTTAGTCTAAAAAGAATTGTGTTCCTGCGCCAGCTCACTCCCGACCACAATAGTGTCTTTGTGTGTTCAGAGGAGGCGACCTGCCTCCACATCTCAATGGGGAATTGTGAATGGGCCGCGTTATGAAACCGTCGGAACTTCCTACTTGCTAGCAGGGAGAGCGCGGAGGGCAATATAATTTTATGCTCTCTCCCTTCGGAAAAGACTCCCAACTGGAGAATCCAGGGGGCAGCCCGCCGGCGTTTTCGGCGTCCCTCAGATGGTACACTGGGGGTGTGACCCCCCGAGCTGCCTGCCATTGCTCTCAAACCTCCAAGTATTCAGTACACATGCTCCCGGTGGGGGTGGGGAGGCTCCCCTGGGTCACCCTCAGGTTAAAAGAAAACACTGCTCCAGTGGACGAAATGCCGCCGTTTCCAGTGCTGCTTCCCCTTCGCCAGAGAAGTGAGCAAAAAACACCCTACGTGGGAAGCCAGCACCTGTCAGCAGAGACGGGGCTGCTATGAAAGGCGAACATGAACGCCAGCGTGAGCCCAGGCGAGGCACCCCCGGACCTAGTCCCCGTGGGCAGGGTAACTTCCCTGACACCCATGAGCTCAGCTGTGTGTGTGTCAAAATGCAGCCAATGCCAATCCCAGGTGTGAAGGACTTTTTCCTGTTAAACATCACTTGATTTTTTTTATTCAAGGGAACCCCCCCAACCATGTTTCTTGGGGTGGTCCTTTTAGATCCTTCCCCCCCAGTTTTAATCCTTTAGCTAGCTCTGCAGAGAGAGCCCTGAACCCTGGCTCCAGCCCTGGCTCCGGCATCCATTGTCTGGTGGTGGTCTTTGCACGTGGGTGGTCCCCTGGCACCCCCAACTCTGCAAACCAGGCTCCTGTCCCCACTTCAGACCCCGCCCACTTCCCAAGCCCGTCAGGGTCTCGGTCGGTGACTCCCAACTGGGGTGCCCCAAGGGTTTTTACAGCATGCAATACCTGACCCCATTTCCCTTCAAAAGTTGTCCAAAGAATGCCAACAGCCAGCACAGCAACAGCCATCTAGTATGAATGAATCAAAATCATACCCCCCCTTTTCTTTGTCAGACTGACAAAAAATATATTTTCTGGTGCAGAATTTTAGTCGTCCATGTCCCATGAGATGAACAGGCTGAAAACCGCTGGTCCAGGGGACCATCTTCCTAGAGGGGCCGTTCTTAGCCTGAGCCTCAGCCCCTCCAGCTCAGCTCCCCAGCTCCATGGTCCCCCTTCCTTCTCAGGGGCCGCTCCGCTCGCGGGTCCCAGACAGCCTCCCACCTGCACCTCAGGCCCCTCTCCCTGTGGGGTGCTCGTTTCTCCCCCCGCCCGCCCCCGAGTCTCTGTGAGAACTCACTTCTCCTCCAGGGCCAGCTGAGCCACCCGCTGTGCTGCGCCCATCCCTTCCCACTCTCCGAATCTAGGACAGGGCCTGGCTGCCCCTGGAATCCCGGCACCACTCACTTCTAATAGAAAATATTCATCCCAGTTAAAAAAAAAATATGTGAAAGACTCACATATACTAAAATCAGCCAAGAACCAAGGGAAAAAGCAAAGGGTGGTAGGGCTGCCTTTAGGACAGAGCAGGCAACTTTCATTAAATCCACTTCCCAAACCCCAAGTGGCCAGTGTGCACACAGGGAGCAGCACGAGCTGAACGGGGGGTTGACTTAAGGCCGCCAGGGGAGTGCGTCCTGAAAACGGGGTGCCCCCCCCCCTCGCTGGCACAGCATTTCTTCTGGATGAGAAGGCACCTCCTGTCTTTTTACTGTTAAAGAGTCAAAACAACACCATGAGCACCTCGCACGGCCTTTATTAAGGTGAACTGCACCGCAGGACAGTCTCTCTGAAACTCTTTAAAAACCAGGCTACCTTAAGACAATAACCTAGATCTGCCTACCTGGCCACCAGATCTCATTAATAAATCTCAGAAGCACCCACAGAGGAGGAGGGGCACATTTTTGTCACTCGACTCATCCAGTTCTGCCCAGTGCTTCCTTATTTAAAAGTGTGATGTAATTTCCTTCTTTCAATCTGGTTTTAGAACCTGATTTCTGTTTATTCAGGGCGATAAATGGTCTTTTCAGCTGCATTTAACAATTACCTACCTAACTACTCCCAGGAGGTAACGACATTTAGAGGCAAAATGTGTAAAAAGAAACTGACTTAGGAACACGACAAGCCCCGTGATTTAAAATCTCCCCCAAATAAGCCAGCACCTGCACGCGGATCTGCCTTTGGAAAACCTCCGAAGCAAAGACTCGCGCCTGAAGCGCTAGTAGCCACGCCATTCGAACACCGAACGTTCAGTGGAGCTCTTCAGTAGAACGGTAATTTTTAATTTTTTGTTAATCCTCCCCCAAGGATAATTTTCCCATTGATTTTAGAGAGAGTGGAGTGGAAGGGAGGGGAGGGGAGAGAGAGAAACCTTGATGTGAGAGAGACACATCGATTGGACCGAACCTGCAACCCAGGCGCGTGCCGTGACTGGGACTGAACGGGACCCTTCCATGTGGGGCTGATGCCACGCTCTAACCACTGAGCGGGCCAGGCCGAGAACTGTGATTTCGATCAATATGAGGAAACTCACCCGTTGGATACTCCCTACACCTGCAGTGTTTATGACAGTTGTTTACTAAAAGCAAAAGGCTTCAGAGGCTCCGGTTTGGGGGAGGGGAGGAGGGGCAGGCAGGTTAGGAAAAGCTCCTCGTTGCACCCTGCTCCTGGGAAAAGCACAAGCAGTCTTCACAGTAAAGCAAGGTGGTCTAAAATGGTTTACATCCTGTCAATAAAATGCAATTAAAATACTCGTGCACGAATTCAAGCTGAACTGTGGGTTTCTGTAAAGATGGAAGTACAGTTGGGGGCGGGGCTGGCACACATGGGCCTGTTTGTAAAGGATAAAGACGGAGGCAACAAGGAAAATAATTTCTCTTCAGACTGTCAGAATCAAAGCTAAGTAAAAAGAAAAGAGCTCAGTGACCTAGTTTCTTGAATAATTCGGAATATTTTCTTGCTAAGTATTAGGAAATAGCAGGCTCACAGAAAACCTACTCGCTCCCCTACTCGAGTCATCGCTGCCTGACCCCGTCCTGCAGCGCCAGCGCACAGCCACCACCTTCTGTCCTCGGCCCCTTCCTAGGGCAGCGCGGTCAGCAGCAGCGCCCAGGAGGGTGGGAAGTATTATTCCCTTTACAACGCGCGGGAGCGATTTCTAAGGAGGCGTGAAGTCTATCCGAATTTTAGTGACAACAAGCATGTGGTCTGATGATGGGAAGCAAATCTTGAAAACTTCAAATTTACTTAATGAGCATTTAAAAAGCCACCCCCCTGGGTAAGTCTAGATTGTTACTGTGAACACTAAACCAGTAAGACTCACACGCCGGACCCTAACCTGACAGTGTTCCAAGCGCTTCGTTTATCCAGTGGTCGGCAAACTCGTTAGTCAACAGAGCCAAATATCAACAGTACAACGACTGAAATTTCTTTTGAGAGCCAAATTTTTTAAACTTAAACTATATAGGTAGGTACATTGTTATTAACTTAATTAGGGTGCTCCTAAGGCTTAGGAAGAGCCACACTCAAGGGGCCAAAGAGCTGCATGTGGCTCTCGAGCCGCAGTTTGCCGACCACGGGTTTATACTAACTTATTTAATCCTCCAACAACGGCAGGAGATGGGTTACTATTACTACCCTCAGTCAGATGACGATCTGGAGGCAGAGGTCAGGGACTTACTTGGTCAAGGTCACATCCCAAGAGTGGTGGGAGCCTGGTGCCAAAGCCTCCCCCCACCCCCCACCTCTTTACCCCCTCGGGCGACCGGCAGGGTGCTCTCTGACCACTATAGACTTTTCTCGGGTAACCCTAAGCCCATGCAAAGTCCTGCCCCACTTCATCTCCCTGGGATTCTCCTGCCTAGTCACTCCCTAGAAAGGGTGGGTTAACCCTGGCAATGTGGCTCAGTGGTTAGAGTGCTGGCCTGCACACCAAAGGGTCTTGACTTTGTTCCGGTCAAGGGCACATACATACCTAGGTTGCAGGTTCGATCCCGGCCGGGTGGTGTGTGGGAAGCTACCAATTGATGCACACGAATGTTCTCTCTCTCCCTCCCTTCCACTCTCTTTCTAAAAAAAAATTATCAATGGGAAAAACATCCTCAGGTGAGGATGAACAAAAACAAAAACGTTAAAAAGGGTGGGTTACGGTACTGCTTTTATACTCTGTGACTCCTTCCAACGACTCTTGAAGCTTTCCATCTGTAATGGAAAGCTTCCATCACACGTCCATTTCAACGCCGCATCGGACGCAACGCGGGTCTTAACCAGGAAGAGCGGCCAGTTCCCACACCACCCAACACGCTCCTTAAGACACGCTCACACTCGGGTCCCAGTGACGCATCCCAAGCCGCAGGACGGGCACCTCACAGCAGCAGATCTCCTACTGGAAAGCACTTTCTAACCATGATCTCCCTCGATCCCCACAGCGTCCGTCAGAAGAGGCAGGGATTAGTCTCCATTCCAGACAGGAAACGAGCGACACCTTCCTGCTGCCCGTCTGCCCGGAGCCCGGCCTGTCCCGTTCACTCGCCCTGCCTCTCCCTCCACCTGGGTCCACCTGGGTCCACCGGGTCCTCCTCGAACATCCTTGCTTACAAACGGGGAAACGGAGGCAAAGAAACGCTCACGACCTGAGCGTTAGGCAGCTGCAGAGCTAAAACAGGAACCCCACTCCGCGCTGCTCACAAGTTCTCAGAGGGCAGGGATTAAGTCCTTTCACAAATAGTTATCAAATGCTAATTCTGGACTAGACACCATGCTCCGCGATGAAGAATCAAACTGGGGAGGGAGACGACAGTAAAAGCAGCCGCTTCAGACTGTGGCACCTCCCCAGGACGCAGGAACAGCAAGAGGTCGAGGAGGCCGGAGAACCATTCCCACAGGTGGTTCGGGAAGGCCTCTCTCCGGTGACTTAGAAAAACATGCTCACCTGAGGACATGAGGAAGGAAGGAGGGGGAGGGGGAGATTGACTGAGAGAGAAACATCGACAGGTTGCCTTCTATACACTCCTGCCTGGGGATGGAACCTGCAACCCGGGGATATGCTCTGACTGGACCGGAACCAGCCATGTTTCCCTGCACGTGATGACACTCAACCAATTGAGCCCCTCCTGCCAGGACTTGCAGGCGACTTTAAAATATATGTTTATATTTGTATTGATTTCAGAGAGGAAGGGAGAAGGAGAAACAGAAACATCTATGATGAGAAACTTCGGTCGGCTGCCTCCTGCACGCCCCTTACTGGGGAGCCTGCGACCCGGGCACGTGGCCTGACTGGGAATCGAACCGTGACCTCCTGGTTCATAGGCCGACGCTCAACCACTGAGCCACGCCGGCCGGGATCAGGTGGCTTTTATGTAGAATCCAAAGGGTGGGAAAGAGGCCGTCACGAGAAGAGTCAGAAGAGCATCCACGCAGGGAGCAGTGTTTTCCAGACAATCCCACGGGTCCAGCTTCCTGTTCAGGGGTCTTTGCTAAGAGCTACTGGACACTGTCTCCCACCCTCACCTTCCTGCTTCCTCTCTGTAGCGGGATGGTCTGCTGAACCGTGGACTGTGGAGTTGAAGAGGCCCCAATCCATGGAGCCAGAACCCCACATTTTAAAAGTGTATTCGCTGAGGCCGGAAGCCTGGCCTGTGAGTAATACTGCCCTGTTTTATGGCATAAGGAATTGGATTAAAGTATCAACAATGACTCGACTCACAGAATCTTTTGTTTCCTCTCTGAACCTGAAGCTGACATTAACTTTCCCTACCTTCAAACTAACTTCTCTATTTATTGTGGTTATTACTGTTGTTGTTAGTCCTCACCAGAGGATATTTTTCAGTGTCCTTAACTGGTAATCAAACCTGAGACCCTTCGGTGAGCCGGCTGACACTCTGCCACTGAGTCACACCGGCCGGGGCCCAACTTCTCTACGAAACTTACATTCAGAACCTGGACACCCCCCGTTTTATCTGCCTTCACAAAGCGTGTGTTTCTGCTGTGCCAACAACGCCAGGATGCCAGGCACACTGTCTATCAGGGTTACTCATCAGCTCCCACGAGCACGGTCCCACCCGGCACGGAGGACGCCGCAGAGCTGCGCCAACGGCGAAGGGCCGCTCAGAGTCGGGGGGGGGGGGGGGGGAGTTGTTTCTCTGGTAGAGGGAGCCCAGGACATTCAAATTCCTGGAATTACCCCTGGCACCGCCTCCTCCCTCCTCTGCCCCTTCTAAAGCAACCGGATGGTATGTGGACATTCAGGTCGGTTTCAGGCGTGTTGGATTGTACCTGTAATTTAGCAACTGGCTTTGGGAAGCTACCATCAGCATGAGCAGAGAGGACGCGTGATCTGGTTCAGCTTCGGAGAAGCGGCGGCTAGGAGTTATTGTCACACGAACACTCAGGCCTACGGTGCGATCATGAAATCTCAGAGGAAGAGAGACCGCTGTCTTTAGTGAGCGGAAAGAAGGAAAGACAATTCATCGAAAGAGTAACGTTTACCTCCCATCAAAATCCGAATAACTCGGACACTTCCTAACCGTCACTGAACAACAGGTTTGCTTTGCGACCCTTATCGGCGACCGAGCCATTCCTGCTGACCTTTAAAATGTAAAATGTGCTTTCGTGCAGTTATTTATCAACCATTAACCGTGTGCCGGGGCCCAGAAGATAGGAACTGTGCAAGGCAGAGGTCCTGCCCTTAAGGAGTTTACAATCCAATGTGTGTTGGGTTATACATTGTTAGTTCAAGACCTCTGCCACCTATTAGAATAGCCACCGGAACACAGCTGGCCCGGCCGGCGAGCGAGTGATGACCTATGAACCAGGAGGTCATGGTTCGATTCCCCGTCGGGGCACATGCCCAGCTTGTAGGCTCGATCCCCAGTGTGGGGCGTGCAGGAGGCAGCGGATCAATGATTCTCTCTCATCACTGATGTCTCTCCCTCTCCCTTCCTCTCTGAAATCAATGAATAAAAACACAACAACACAAAAGCAGCTGAACACACCTGGGTGCAGCGGGGATGACAGCGGCTGAAGTCCACGCCGAAACCTCCGTCTTCCTTTAGGAAGGAGCCTGGCCACTCACATACCGGCAACAGAGCCAGCCCGGTAACATGAAACCGACTTTTATTCTGGTCTTACCCAAATCTGGTCATTTCCTGAAACGGGTACCTAGCCAGTCTCTGATCGGTTTAAATACAGCTTCCCTTAAAACTGTATAATTACAGACATGCAGAGAGAGAGAGAGAGAGAGAGAGAGAGAGAGAGAGCGCGCGCGCGCAGTTTTAACAAGAAGGCGAGGCTAGCCGTGGCGAGCTCGGTCCTCAGCACACACATCCCCCCCTGCATTCTTCCAGGTCCGCGAGCGCTCAGCACCGTGCACAACACCCGCTCCCCCGAAGAAGAAGAAGAAAAAAAAGCGTCTGAACCTCACCTTTCTTCACCCCTGACAGTTGCCTGGAAACCGGTCCTGCCCTACCTGTGTTGCAGGTGTACCTGAAGTCACCAGCACGGCTTTTAAAGCTACAGCCTCCGTTCCGACGGCGCTGAAGTTTATGACTAACCATCTATTCATACGTTTTATCAGGTAAAGAGACTGGTTTCCTCCAGGCCGTGACGACACCCTCGCAAAGCCGAGCCAGCGCCCGGCCGGCACCAATCAGGGCCGCGCGCCGCGCGGAGGCTGAGACTCGCACATAAATACACACACGTCCGCCCGGGCAGTGCCCAATGGGCGCCCGCGCTCGGCGAGGGGAGCCGCGATCGGGCGCTCGGTTCCCGGGAGAGGGAGAGGGAGAGGCACGGAGCTGCCTGCCGGGTGCGCGACAGACCCGACAGCGGGGCCGCGCTCGCCGAGCCCAGGACGGGGTCCCGCGCGGGCGGCGACCACCCCGCAGCCTCCCACCGCGGCTCCCGGGACGGTGCGGGGCGCGCGGGGCGCAGCTCCATTGTGGGGAAGGGGACGCGCGAGGCCGCCGCCAGCCCGCGCCGGACCCCGGCTCCCCACTCCCCAACCCGCGCGCCCCCGGCAGCCGTCTCGGGCCGAGGCGCGTCCGGGTGTCCAGTGCGCGGCCCGAGAAGCGAGGTCCCCCCAGGCCCGACCGCGCCGCCCCCTCCCTCCTTCCGTCCCTCCCTCCCGGGGAGACTCCGTGGGGCGACCCTCTCGGCGCCCGGGGACCCGCCCTGCGACGGGAGCCGCCCGCAGCCGGAGCGGCGGGGGCGCGGCGCCGCCCTCCCCCGGCCCGAGGCCCCTTACCCCGCAGAGCCGCGGCTGCCCCCCGGCGCCCTCCCGCGCATGTCCGTCCCGGCTGGCTCCGCGCCCGGCTGGGGGCCGACACCGCGCAGGCGCCGGCTGCTCCGTCCGCCAGGCCCGCGCTCCCGCTCGCACTCGGCCTCCGTCGCCCCGCCGCGCCGTCCGCTTTATACTTTAGGGGGGCGGGGCGTGACGTCAAGGCCCCGCCCCCTCCCCGCGCAGCCAATCCCGGCCGCGATCCGCTTAAAGGGGCGATGCCAGGCGGCGGAGGCGCTCGCGTGGGGTCCGCCGCGTCGCGGGGCTGGCGGGGACGCCGCCCCGGTCTTCCGGGGGCACCGAGGGGGCCGCCCTGGGGACGCGGGCGGTCCGTCCCCGCCTCCCGCAAGGGGGCGCCGCGTCGCGCGCGGACTTTCCCGTCTTTTCCTGCCGCGGGGGCGGCGTTTGCGTGTTTTCCCGGGTCCGCGGGCTGCCACCCCGCTCACCCTGGTGCCGCGGCTGCAGCGTGGGGGGCCAGCGAGGGCCAGTGTGGGGGGCCACAGACAAGGGGGGGCAGGCAGACAGTGCACGGGGGCGCGGCAGCGGGGTCCCCTGGGACAAGGGCCCGCAGGGTGGGAGAGCGAGGGGCGGCGGGGGACAGGGGGGGCCGGGCAGGGCGCCGGGGGCCGCACTGCGGGCGCCTCTCGTGGGGGACCCAGGGAGCGTGCCAGCCGCCTTGAAAGTCAGCGGGTGCAGTGGACCCGGCGGGGCCACCCGCGGGCCCTGAGGTCCCCGGGCCGAGACTCCTTAGACCCCCGCTGGCCTCCCGCCCTCGCCCCGCCGCAGCCACTGATGCCTGGGGATGCAGCACCAGCCAGCCTCTCCCCGGGCGCCGGTGATGCAACCGAGGCTTATAGTTTAACCGTAAAATAAATAATACAAATGATAACAAACCACGAGTCACTAAAGTGAGAAAAAAAGCAAACAAGACAGAAACCCTCCAGCTGTAACGAGAACAAATCCCCGGAGCGGAGCGGGACTCCACTGAGCGGAGGCCGGAGACCTCCCGCTGACCTCGCGGTCGCCCTGGGCCCCGGCCTGCATCTCAGTAATAACGCCCAGTGCCCGGTGCCCGGTGCCCGTGGTCGGTGGTCGTGCCTTTAGGGCCTGATTGGGATGGGCTGCCCCAGGAAGAGAGGTCCCGACCTCATTATCAGGTTAACTATTAACCCTGCGCTCCATGCAAGGATTTGCCTTTTCTCCCCTATTATTTACTGACATTCTTTAAAATTTAATTCAAAGGCTTAATTTTGAATGCAAGCCTTTAAGCACACGTGTACACACACACATGCACAGAGGCACACGCACACAGGCTCACACACACGCACACATGCACAGAGGCACATGCACACAGGCTCACACAAAAATCTGAAGTATCTCTTTGCCCTTTTCCAGTTGCAAGATAAATGAATGTTTACCGACGGCCTCCATCCTCCTCCCTGCCGGCCGGGAGCTTTGGGCTGTTTTCCTATCTGTGCTGCTTATCAACCACTCCGGTAATTCCATCTTTTTGTCAAAGTCTTACTTATTGCCGTTCCGTTCAGTATTATTTTAAGAGGGAGGAGATCAGTCACAACTGATCGCTGCTTTTCTGACCCAATTAGGTTCTTTTTTTGATTCACAGAAAATGCAGAATCCCCCCACCCCCCACCCCACTTTGCCTTCATCCGTGTGTACAGCTTACCACGGGCTGTCATCAGTGTACAGCACGGACCGGACAACATCTTTGCCGAGGGCTCGGTGCAGCTTTTGCTGCCTGGGGACCTCGAGCTCCGGTTTCCTCCGGAGGGAACCCTGGCTACGCTCTTCCAAGCGGCCACAATACAGCTGTAATTCGTGCTGCCTCGCTGGCGTGCTTTTACATTCCCCTATTCATAAAACCGTGATAGTCACCCCAGCAACCAGCAAACACACCCCTTTAGAGAAAGAAGATCCAGGGGACACTCACTATATGGCCGAGAGCTGTACAATGCGCTAATGTTTTGGGGAAGTATCAAAAACCATAAAATCACATGAGTAATACGTGATTAATCTGATTTCTTCCCCCTTCTGCTCTCTTTTAAACTTGCAAAATAAACGGACTTTTTGGGGGGTGGGTGGGGAAGCCAGTTATAGCTGATAGCTTCCTGAATTTTGCTTGCAATTATATTCATACAATATGGCTCTCTCAGCTGTGAGTGAATTACATGAGGAGACTTACACCCCACAGATCTTGGATACAAGAGTCTCCTAAGGCTATTTGGCTATGCCATTGACATGTCAAGAGTTTCAAAGGAAAGTGCTAAGGAACTTGAAATAATATTCGCATGTTGCATCTCTCCAGTGACCATCCCCACTGACTTTCCACAGATTAGAACACTGGTCTAGAGGTGGAGGGAAAAACACTCTCTTTGTACTGAACTGAGCCGGTTTTACACTGCCTGCCGCCAGAAGGACATTTGAAAGCCAGACAATGTCTCTTTTACATCGCTCTCAGTCCATTTCATTTTGAGGCCACTTCTCACGGAATTTATATTATTAGCTGATTGTTTTTTTAATATAAAAAACCCCCTAAACATAACATTTAAAACCTTAGACTTACCCACATTGACCCAAATTGTCACTCTGCCCTTGCCCTTCTTTCTGTGAAAGAAGAAGCTGTCCTTGGACTGAGCACAAGGGCGGGGGGTGGGGGTGGGGGGTTCTGGCTCAGAAACCCAGGAGCCAGGGACGCTGCCTGGCTAGGCCCGCTGGCCTCGCTCCCCGTGCTGCGCGCAGGCAGAAACAGGCTGCCGGGGCCGCCAGCCTCCCCAGCGCACGTCTCCATATTCTTTGAGCCCCACAGGAGAACACACATTTTGGCGTTTATTTCTCTCAATGATAAGTGTTTTTGTTTCTCGATTATAAGAGTTTTTGTGTTCCTCCTTTTAAACAAAGAAATCTTCTAAATGGAGCTGCTCTTTGCATTATTACCCTTAGTCCCTAGAGCCTTTACTTTGGTCCATTCACAGTTTAAAGGTAACTATGCTTTTTTTTTTTTTTTTTAAACTAATTTATAAATAAGTGTGTGGTTAAAAAACAACAACTTGACAATGGGAGGAAGAATTGCACTTCTTACAGGGCGGCTTGTTTAGTGTGTTATTGTATGCTTTGGAAACATCTGGGCACGGGTACATGGATTATGTAGCCACTAAGCTGGGTGGGTTGCTTTAAGACAGACATGCGGGTAAGAGCTGAGGTTCATCCACAAGGTCTGCTTTCGGCTTTAGCAGCCCTTTGGAAAGTGGCTCAGAAACAGATCTCTTTACAATTCCCGTTTCCCCCTTATGTAACTAGGCATGCTGTGCCCCCTCCCTAGTCTCCTCAGCTTGTGAGATGACTGAGCAGCTGGTTTTAATTGATCAGCCTGTTGTTTCCAGTCTTGGCTTAACTGCTCTGTAAAACTACCTTTTCTTAGTTTGGGTTTTAGAGCTGTTGTTTGTATAGTTATTTTTAATCCAGCCACTTTTCATTTACCTTATGTTCCCTTTAATGGGCATTTGCTATTCTTGGTGGTTATTCTAGCTCTAGTTCTATCTCGTTTCTAGAACTTATAAGCGTTAGAAGTTTTTAGTGTTCTATAGATGCATTAATTTCATATGTGGGTGATTACAAAACAGTTTTTTCCAAATGTCTTCTAAACATTCGTCTGATATTATCCTCAAATGCTACCAATACATTTTCTCCCAAGTAAAGGCTGTATTTCCTATGAGCCGGCCAGTAGGGGGCGCTCTAGTCCCTTGCCAAACAAATAAATAAATAAATAACACTCAAGGAAACTCTTCTTTAAGGGGTTTCAGGAATACATTCCACTCCTTCATAGCCGCCAACACGGATGAGATATGTTTATATAGACACAAGCAAATAGTTCAGTGTACCCGACATATATGGAAAGTAGAATTGTTATATTTTTTTAAAAAGGAAGCTTTGAACTGTTTACTTCTGTGAAATTAGCTCTAAAATAATAAATCAGCCCCTTGGCAACATACTTTCTTTCATTCTGGATAAAAGAAGAAGGAAAATGGTGTAGCTCTGGTCGGGTTTCTCAGTGGTTAGCGAGTCGGCCCTAGGATCCGATTCCTGTCAAGGGCAAGGACCTCAGCTGCAGTTACCAGCACTGGTAGGGGTGCACGCGGGAGGCAACCCATCGATGTTTCTCTTTCTCGCCCCCTCCTCCCTCCCTCCATCCCTCCCTCCCACTCTCTCTAGAAATCATTGGAAAAGATATCCTCGGGTGAGGGTTAAAAAAAGAAAAATGGTGTAGTGACGAAGAGCTCAGGAATCGGGGGGATTTGGGTGTGAATCCCAGCTCATCAGCTGTATGACTCAGGCAACTGACTTAGCCTCTTGTAAGACGGGGCCCCAGGGCTCCCCCTCCAGAGGGCTGCTGGGCAGATAAGTGAGG